TTTATGTACTAAATGTAGATTGAGAGAAACCACTGAACACTTTCTCCTTTATTGTTCTAGGTATAAAAATGAACGCAAACGGTTCCGAGCCAGACTTCGCAAAGAAGAGGTCAAGGTCAATTGGAACAATGCCAAAAAACTTTTGGACTCTCCTGAAGCCTTTTTCCTTTTATCCGAATTTATTTTAGAGACTAAACGATTTGTATTTTTTCATTCATATGAACAGGACTCAGTCCCTAGGAAACAGTCACGGATCAAGAGCTAAAAGGTCAATGATCCGCAATCACTACGTAGCATTATCTTCCGAAGTTGTTTGCCCAACAAGCTAGACGCCCCACCTCCTTCCTTAAATTGGGGGACGAGTGGTTTGCGAACAGCGGGCTTTTCCACAAAAGATAATTCCTCAACAAACATCAAGCTGATATCACCCGTTTAAACAGACGGTGGACAAGATATCTTAGCGGTATGTCAATGTTAATGCATATTAGAGCGGTGTCACGATTGGTAAACAATCACCGACAGCACATACACGTTTAAGTTACCCTTTCCTTCCACCTTAGATTGGGGATGAGTCTGTGGGACTAAACTGTCACTGTTGCTCGATTCCCTGCATTTGTAGGTTATCTAGAGACAAATCTTGAATGGTAAACATTCCTGATAGTACACACAATTTTTAGGATCTTTACCTTCCACCTTAGATTGGGGATGAGTAAACGAACTAAATTGTCACTGTTATTCTCAAAAAAAAAAAAGAAAAGAAAGATAGCTGCATTATTGCGTAACGATCAAAAGACCTTTTACTCTTGTAACCGACTAGATGACTGCCCTCCAAGTGTACTAGTCCTTTTCTTTACTATTTGCTTAGTTAGTGTTGTATGCAATTCAGCAATAATACACTTAAAAAAAAAAAAAAAAAAAAAAAAAAAAAAAAATTGACTTTGACTTTGACTTTGACTTTACATTTACTTTACTTTGAATGCAATTGACACTTTACTTCTCAATCCTACTTAACTTCCTGATAGACAGAAGATACTTCCACTTCCTTCCTCATCAAACCATACTTCCTGACTTCCTTCATTGGATTTCAGATGAGAAAACATCATGGAACACAATCATCAATCTTCAACTTCATCATCATCATCAAATAACTCATCAAGACCCATCAATGCTCTATCATTCTCTTTAGCAAACTCAACTTCAACTTCAACTTCAACTTCGGCTTCTCCATCTCCAACTCAATCTCCATCTCCAACTCACTCAATCAACTCAGCCCAATCACATACATCAAACCAATCAATCAAATCAATCAAACCTTTGAATCTAACAAACTCTTTCAACCAATCAAATCCATCAATCCAATCAACCTTCAACACTTCAAATCCAATCAGATCGAGGTCGTCTCCTTCTACTAAGAGACAAAAATTCATATCAGATCACTTACATCTATCCACCTCACCTACCCGATCACATACTATCATCAAATCTCATTCACCCATAGAATCTCTCATCATCCTATCTAGCTTGTTGTTATCAGCTTATCGAATCTATCAACTATCGACCTATAGTAACACTGACTCAATCACCAAGGACAATGATCATCAACTTCAACTTCAACTTCAAACTACCACTATCCCTTTCGATCTATATCTCATCCTAATCTTCATTTACGTTCTTATCAACTCATTTCGATCGACTCATTATCATCTATCTCATCTCACATATTTCAGAGTGCCATTCACTGATGCAAGAGGTTACAGAGATCCATCTCAAGCTGATGATGGTCTATCAATTGCAATAGGCTTACCTCTCATAGTCTCATCTGCTGTACTTTACAGTTTAACTAGAAAAAATCAATCAAACCTAACGGATGCCTATCATCATCTCATTCACACTTCAAATCTACCTAATCTAATTCAACTTTGGAATCATTCTCATCAACAAGAGCAACAGGAAGGTGAAATATTACTACCATCTTTGTCTACTCAAAATCTGATCCAATCCCTATATTCTTCAAGAATTAATCTCTTCTCATTCACAATCATCAACATCTTCAGTCTCTTGGTCGATCTCTCCTTCTCATCAGTAGCTAATTCATGCGCTTATCTACCGATCAGTAACTCTACTCGTTTCTTCGGCTCTACCATCAAATCCTTCATTATTGCTTTGGTCTTCAGTCTCATCATTCGAACTGATAGTTTTTCTCATCTTAAGCTCTCAAGTTTGGAAACGGGCGTATCCGTTTTCGCCTTTCTATCATGCTTTTATGTGATCTCACGACTCGCAAGGAGAGGTTTTACACTAGGAGAAACTTCTATCTTTGCCTCAACTGCTGTAGCTCTTATGCTCGAAATGTTCAGATTGTCGATTTCTAGAATCAATTATCGTACTTTTGTAAACTCAATGACTTCATCAACCATTCTAAACAATCAAACTCTTCCACTTGATCTCTTACCCGGTCTCTTTCGATTTCCTACTCCTTTGGTTGCCATTCAACATGTCTTCATCTCTGCAACCTTTATAATAGGCTTTTCACTCTCCCCATTATTGATCTGGTCACGTAGATTGGGTCAACAACCCACTAAGAGACTTCGTCCGACTCGATCACAACCCTCAACTCTACACCCACCCATATCCTCACCCACCACAGCCAAATCTTCACCTTCATTAATCAATAGTTTAACTAGAGATGCATATTATCATCAGTTTTCAAATCCAGCTGGTCATTATAACCATAAAGAACATGCAAATCAATCAAAAGATCGAATGAGAAAGATCCTCTCACTCTCCATCTATCTTGGGATCATTTATTTTGGTTGGCTGATCTTGAGAGCTTGGTTAGGATGGTTATTGAATCTGAGTCAATCTACTTCTTTATCATCCACCACTTCATTTACTGAGAAATTCTGGGGGAATGGATTGAATTGGGTTTTTGGCTTTTGTTTTGGTGATTGGAAAAGATTGATAATTATGGGATATTGGATCACTTGTTTGATCATCGGTATTGGTGGTTGGACTACTTATCTAATTAAAAAGAAACGAAACCAACGTAAAGAAAGTGATGGACATCGTCATCTTCTTCATCATCATTACGTAAAAGATCGTGTATTGAAGCGGTTTAGAATTAAAGAATTAAGTTCGACTTGGATGTGTAGTACATTCTTGAGATTGATCAAAAAACTATTTAATTCGAGTTGGCCTTCTACGTCTATTACCAATCCTTCAAAACACTCAAAACCTGTTGGAGTTCAACATGATCCTGATCAATATCCTTTAATTGTCAATCAAACTAATAATAATAGTAATAATAGTTGTCCGGAAAAGAAAGTGGTGGGAAATGGATTGAATCTTAGACGAAAGTTTTTTCATGGATTATCATGTTTGATGTTTATTCCTGCAATCTTAATTGATGTAAGTCTTATCTATCTGAATTTATTTGTGTGTGGCGATCATCTCAATCCGGTTTTTGTTTGGGTTTTTTTTGGCTTTTCTAGCCTGGGTTCACTTCTTTAGCTTTCACAGTCGCTTTTGTTGGATTCACTTTCCTAGAGTTTTTAAGATACTTTGCCGTTTATCCAATCGGTGTTTCAATCCATTTATTCTTCGTAAGTATATTCTCCTTTTAGTTCTCTAATCGAAAAATCTGACAAAGTTCATATGATTTTGTAGAATGAATTTATCGACTCGAAAGATTCAGGACCAGTAATCTTGAGTCACTTTTACCTTTTAACAGCTTGTTCCACTGGGCTTTGGTTAGAAGGAAACCGGTTAGGGTCTTTAATCGGAGTATTTGTTGTTGGTTGGTCTGATGCTTGGGCTTCGATTATTGGTAGGAAATGGGGTAAAGGTAGAGATTGGTATTGTAATCGATCCAAAGTTTGTCATTTGATTTTTTGTTTCAGGGCTGGGTTGATTTTCTAAATCTGATGAGTTGATTTTTTTCTCTCTAGACGGTAGAAGGTACTCTGGGCTTTATTGGAAGTTTGGTTTTTATTGGATTGGGTTTTAGGTACTTTAAGTTAGTTGAACAATTCTCTGTAAGTTGAATTTAGATTATCCCATTTTCTCTCTTTTGAATCTTTTTGATATTTAACAAGATGAGAGCTGATCGGTTTTGGGTTTTGAAAACCAGATTTTTAAATTTATTTTAGGTTCGATCTTGATTGGAAGTTTAGAAGCTTTTACCAATCAAAATGATAATTTAGTTGTACCTTTATTTGCTTGGTCTATTTTTGAATTATTAGATCTTTAAGAAGAAGAAAAAAGGTGGATGTAAAACCAAAAAAGAAAAGAAAACTCGAAAACACTTTAATGATTTAATACTTTTTTTTCTTCAAAAAAAGTATAGTCATCAATTTAGTTTTGGTTATCTTTTTTTTTCTTTTTGTGTAGAATTTTTGTTTGATTGAAGAGAAGAAGAAGAAAGTGGGATTTTTTTGTTTTTTTTTGGATCTGTATCAATTCTAATATAAGGTGTTTCTTTTCTAATTCTTAATTTTTTTTTTCGGTTTATCAATTGAGAATTTTAATTTTTTTTTAATTATAATTTAATGTTTAAGAAATCAAAAAAAGGAAAGTGAGATTTTTTTCTTGGTTGACTTAATTTTAATTCGAATTCATCATTGAAAATTTCTTTTAAAAATTCAATTCATTCTTTCTCTCTTGAGTATAACTGAATTGATTAATTTGTAATCAATTTAATATGAGAAAAGATATATTTAGATAAATGATTTGGTTTACTTTGAATAGTTTTTTTTGAAAGTATGTACATATTTACAAAGTTTTTGAAGAAAATTAGAGATGAAAGAAATCATGAAAGGAGATTAAGAAATCAATTTGAATCAATAGATCCAAAAGTAAAATCTTGGGTTCCAAAGTTTATCTAGAAACCTCAAGCTCAGATCTCTCTAGTCCTTCATGATCTAACTCCGATTGGGAGTTGACATGCTTCGACCATTTTGACAAACCGTCAAAAAAATGTTGCACCCTTTGCATGGTGCACCCGACGGAAGTGAGATTTGAACTCACGCTCACAAAGTGAAGCAGCTGAAGCAGATCCCAACCGAGGGTTGATTCTAAACTGCCGCCTTAACCACTCGGCCATCCCGTCTATGACGTAAAGCCGGACAATGACAATATGAACAAGCTAGTCAAATGCGTAGTGACTGCGTGCAATACAACAGCAGCTGTACCGTACTCATCAGACCCCTCCCGATCGGTCGATCAACATCAGATCAGGAGAATGGTGACATTGCGATGAATGCCAAAGCCAAGGAGCACTACACCCGTCTGCCTGCCGATCTTACTCAGCAATCATCAAGGATAAACTGGAAGAATTCTATACACATGGTGAGCAAAAGGTTTGATTGTTTGAGCTGCTTATTAGTAATCATCTACCTGCATTGAGTTTGATCATGAACATTGTATCTATATTAATATTGGGATTTGTGTTGAGCTAAATTTCCAAAGCCTGTGCGATCGTCCTCTGATATCTTTTTGGGCGAGCAGACAATTCTCCATGACAATTTCAACAGAGGTATGGAGTAGATGTGTTTGGGATTTACGAAGAGCTTGGTTGCATTTACTCTTGATAGGATACATGACTCAAAGGGTAATTTTATCAAAGAGTTGTGTGATTTTGGAGGAATTCCATCATCAACTCGTATGCTACAAAGGTGGACGCTGCTGCTGGTATTCTAATCAAAGGCAATAAAAGAGTAAGGTCTTGAGATAAGTGCCTATCTGGTGAGGTGAATGGGATCCTAGAAATGTTGAGAAACGGAGGAGATCGTAATACTCACGCTCGTATATCTGTCAAAGTCGAAAATATTGCCCAACCCAATTCATCAGTATTCATCTATCGAGACAGGTGACTGGTTTGCATAGTCAGAATATACACATACATGTCGGTGCAATTCCGCGTACCAAGGCTCGCCTACATTTCAGGAAGAGTCGGGCAAAGTTCAATACCCCATACGCGATCACAATACGTATATCAACTTACGGTCCTTCTTCTTTACAAATCTTCCGCCAAGTATCTGCAATATAGTTGAAACCTTTGGGTGGTACATCTGCCATCTGAACCCTACTCTTGATCACATCTGATGTCAAGGGTTACAGATTCAATCAAGTCAAAGTTAAGAATCATGCCGCTCGTGGAGTTGAAAAGTGTTGATATATAATAGGAGACATGATGATAACTGAGATGAAATTTACCTAATGGATAACAAAATGTCCAGTATCCGATCCCACCTACCGCACCACTTGTTAAGAGCGCCCAGACTGGTAAAGGTGGTTGTGGAAGATGATTATGACGAGGTCTGTGATCGGAATCAAACTTCCATTTCTGAAAAGCCCTTTTTGTCGATTCAAATCCGGCGTAAAAACCTATATCACAGCAACGATCATTTTGGGTGAATGTTAGATCCTTTGGTCAAGTTGAGACCTCAGTGTAAGATTTTGGACGCTGAGACTTGAAAGATTACCTGCATAAGCCGGAATCTCGCGCACCACAGTTACCTGGTGTACATACATGATTGCAATCGATATTGAGAAAGCCGGCGTTGATATCGATAAAGATGGTTCATGTGCACGGGAAAAAACTTACCCAGAAACCACGCATGATACCTTTCTTGAACCCCCACTCTTGCCAAAGCTCAGAAATGACTTCTCGAAGCCTTTCGGGATCCAAAAAAAGAACATACAAACAAGAGATCACATAAACGAGCTTCTTTGCGGTTCATCAGTGGACTTCACGTGTTAGCCATTTAGGGTTAGGCAGCCATATACAACGACTTGCATACCGTTTATCATTGGGTTTTCCATACTGAGCCTGCATCCTGATTTTCAACATCTCTACCGGAGAAGCCAAAATACTATTGACTGCCCCTGCCATCGAGCCTAGCAAACACTCAAAACGTTGAATACAATGATACGATGTGGGTGATGTCAGTGCAGTTCAAGTAAGCAATAGATGTATGATACATACATAAGACTTTGTCATGAAAGACTAACCGGCAAGTGCAGTTTGAGAGATACTGAGATCAGGAAAAGGGCTCACAAGCCGCTTGGAGATTGTATAAGCCCCGAAAAGTAATGAGTTGACACCAGCCACACCGATTAGAGGTGAGAACATGCCTAAAAATCGAATGGTGTAACAATCGAGAGATAAGGGTACGTCCGATGAACGAGCGATATATATGAGTCTCGCAAAGTTTTCAACATAGATGAATACGAAATCGCTGATCGAATCCTTCCTTCCCGTGAGGTCGATGCTAAAAAAATGGGTATGAAAATACCTTTATAAAGGGCCAGAACACCTTCTTGACTGATCGTCTTGCGAGCGACATCCATGGGTCCTGAAAACATTCCAACCGGTGCGATCTGAGAGCGAGTCTTGATAGTATCCTTTTGTACATTTTTCATCAGAAACCTCGAAATCATCCCTCTTCATTCATGGGTATTCGCTCACAAGTGGTTGCCCAACGAGTACTTGAGCAGCGCCTCCAACACTTCCACTAATCAATGAGGCTATCGTAGTAGGTCGACGATTCTGACTAACATCCTGAAGGGTATCCATTGATAGAATTCTGTCCCCCATATTCGATATAGTAGTTATAGACTTTGATCAAAGCTAAACGCGCTTTCCTTCGATCACAATGACCGGATCCAATGACCACTGAATGAGCCTTCAGGTCGAACCGAGCAGTTTGCGGAGCGTGGTTTGAAGTGCCCCGAGAGCGAATCAGGGCCTGGTGCTGTCAACTTGGAGTGGTTAAGGCCGCAAAATATCCGAAGGCCTTGTCGCCAACTCATCGATCCTGCAACAGAGTTGGCGATGGAGAATAAGGAAAGTTGTACTGACTACCTTGACCGATAAAAATCCTTGATCAAAGTACTGTCAGAGAGCTCTCAATCACGATCAATATCTAAGCCATCCCAGCCCCAAGCTCAAACAACTGCATAGACCAAGTTTGCCTTACATTTTATGGTGAAATAGACTGGGCTGTGATAGCAGACATACAAAGATTTATATTACCACTCTTTCTTGACTCGTCATCATCTTGTCAGTAGGAGCAGCAGCAAATGGGAGCTTGTCCAAGCCTCTCTTGTCTCTCTGCTAGACCTCTTCTTAAGCTGTGAGTTCGCGATGGAGTAACAATTTACGATCCTTATTAATATTTCCAGACAAATGTCGTCTGCGGCGATCCCCTGTTTATTTAGGCCATCCTGAACAATATATATTGTCATCAACACTAGTTCATGATCTGATTGAAGGACATCAGCACCCCGATCAGATGAGTCACTCTGTGGAATGCAATCCCTATATCGAGCTAGAAGCCTAGCACCACCTTTTTTGCCCTATGTGGATTGTCTTTCGAGCCTCAAGCGATTCTCCCTCTACAATCTACCCACATTGAGGTATTCCATGTTTCCGATGCTCATTTTCAGGTCAGCGCCTTTGGATTCTGTCCTTTATAAATCTGGATCGGAAAATTCAGCGCCGCTTGATCAGAATCTAGACTTCAGGGCAATAAACCACCAGGATCAGGAACTTATCAGGCAAAAAATGTGTGTAGTTGACTGAAATTTGAGAATCTACACATTCTTTACCAGCCTATAAAGTCATTCTTTTCTTTCTTGAAATCATGATTTTGCTAACCTTGAATCCTATCTCAATTATTCGTTTACAAACTCCAAATTTCGATTCAATTCACGTCAAATATTTCACATCTCTTTAGCTAGATTTTTCAAATCCTCACAATGTCTGATTTAACTTCTAACGCATCAGTGCAAAGCTCTGCTCAGGATTCAGAAACTCAAACTCAGCCCTCGCATGCCATGGGGATTCATCTTACAAAAGTGACCACTAGCGAGCCGTACTACCATGAATTTTATCCTCTATCTACACCCGGGGTTGATTTTATTATTGCCTCTTCCGATCTCGTCTCCTGCCGTTTCGCGATGTGCTCTACCAAGTTGGCTTTTCATCCTGAAGTTTTTTCAAGCACCAACCGGGCCAAGATCCAATGGTGTGCGGGCCTTCCTCTCATCCTGATGGACAGATCCAAGGAGGTCATTGAGATTATACTAGCATGCCTCGATTCAAGTCTTGTCCCTGACCTATCTGGGTATAAATTCGATGATCTCCGTAAGTCTTTTCCCTGGCGCATGATATCAAGAGGACACCTTGGATTTTACTAATTGAACCTTATTCATCACGATGTTCCTACAAGTTGGTGCATTGGAGGCCGTGACAAGCCGGAACGCACTTGAGCACGTAGAACGACTTTGTCTTCTTGCATTAGGGTGAGAAAAAACATCCTACAGTATAAACCATGTCTTTACTTATGGCTGTGATTTCCTCTTTCATTCGATGCTATCTTTTCGCAGAGCGTACTACAAGCTTAAACCAATTCATGTCTTTGCCCTGGCTGAGAGTTACGGCTGTACTTGGATGGCCAAGCTAGCGTCCGAATTCACATTAGCATTGGATATTGATCTACCGGAGCACAAGCGTCTTCTATCGAGTGAGGCTTATGGTGCTTTGGTGAGTACTTTGAACCATTTCTTCCCGCCATCAATAAATTGAGAATTGACAAAAGATGATGATATCCAGGAGGAACTTCACTCTTACAGGAGGAAACAAGCTCGCCAAATCTTAAATCGCCTTCGACTACCTTTGATCTTACATCGATCGAATTGTGAGCCAGACCGACTTGCTGAATTTTGGAAATCTTCCCTTGGTCGAATTAAAAGAGCGGCATGGAACTCTTTGGCTGATTTAGATATGAGAAAATTATTTTCAAGTGAATTGAAGAAAGCTTCAAGTATCTTACAATGTACTGAGTGTTTACATTCGATTTGTTGTTTGGTTGATCAAGCTGATCAAGATTTTAAGATGATCAGGTGTTGGGCTCTTCCTACTTCTTATGTTTCTGCTTCAAACCTTCCTCATCCTTGTTAGACTTTCTAAAATCTCACTTTCATATAAGGCATGTAGATAAATGTGAACGCTTGGGTTGATGATACATAAAATGAATTCTGTGGTCTTTAAAGCCTCTACATATGTACAAAATGACTTTCTATGCCGAGCCTGACTTCCTTGGA